TAAACTCAAAATGGATGAAAGATCTAAATGTGAGACAAGATTCCATCAAAATCCTAGAGGAGAACACAGGCAACACCCTTTTGGAACTCAGTAACTTCTTGCAAGATACATCCACGAAGGCAAAAGAAACAAAAGCAAAAATGAACTATTGGGACTTCATCAAGATAAGGAGCTTTTGCACAGCAAAGGATACAGTCAACAAAACTCAAAGACAACCTACAGAATGGGAGAAGATATTTGCAAATGACGCATCAGATAAAGGGCTAGTTTCCAAGATCTATAAAGAACTTATTAAACTCAACACCAAAGAAACAAACAATCCCATCATGAAATGGGCAAAAGACATGAAGAGAAATCTCACATAGACATGGCCAACATGCACATGAGAAAATGCTCTGCATCACTTGCCATCAGGGAAATACAAATCAAAACCACAATGAGATACCACCTCACACCAGTGAGAATGGGGAAAATTAACAAGGCAGGAAACCACAAATGTTGGAGAGGATGCGGAGAAAAGGGAACCCTCTTACACTGTCGGTGGGAATGTGAACTGGTGCAGCCACTCTGGAAAACTGTGTGGAGGTTTCTCAAAGAGTTAAAAATAGACCTGCCCTACGACCCAGCAATTGCACTGCTGGGGATTTACCCCAAAGATACAGATGCAATGAAACGCCGGGACACCTGCACCCCGATGTTTCTAGCAGCAATGTCCACAATAACCAAACTGTGGAAGGAGCCTCGGTGTCCATCGAAAGATGATGGATAAAGATGTGGTTTATGTATCCAATGGAATATTACTCAGCCATTAGAAACGACAAATACCCACCATTTGCTTCAACGTGGATGGAACTGGAGGGTATTATGCTGAGTGAAATGAGTCAGTCGGAGAAGGACAAACATTATATGGTCTCATTCATTTGGGGAATATAAATAATAGTGAAAGGGAACAGAAGGGAAGAGAGAAGAAATGTGTGGGAAATATCAGAAAGGGAGACAGAACATAAAGACTCCTAACTCTGGGAAACAAACTAGGGGTGGGGGGAAAGGGAAGGAGGGCAGGGGGTGGGGGTGAATGGGTGACGGCCACTGAGGGGGGCACTTGACAGGATGAGCACTGGGTGTTATTCTGTATGTTGGCAAATTGAACACCAATAAAAAATAAATTTATTATTTAAAAAAAAAGAATTTACCTAGTTAAGATGACTATGAACTCTCTACACAGTATTCCCAAACAAAATTGGAAAGAATATATTCCATTCTGATCCTAACAATTATGAAAACACTATATTCATACTCAAAATACCAGAAAGACTTTCATTAGTTTTGGTGTTGAACTTGGAAAATTAAACAGAATTTATCTGTATTCCAATAGGCAATAAAAGTAATAACATCAACATATGCATATGGTGTTATAATTAGTTTGCAAATCACCTTCTTTTCCATTATATCATTTGAGTCAGGTAGGCCAATAATTATGTCCCATTCTTGAGAGAGGAGAACTGAGACTTTCAGACTTTTTCAAAGTCTCCAAATTATCAGGTGGCAGGTCTAGGGCTTGAGCAAAATCCTTTTAGCTCTAAGTCCAGCTAACAGTGTGACTACTGCTTAACTGATAAGTAATATCCTACAGTTACTTTATTCTCTCACAAAGTTTCTAGAACTATCACCTGTCTCATTATTAAGACAAATACTATCATTGTTTTCCATGAGTGTAAAGTAGGCCAGCCATTCAACTTCTGATTCATTCTTTTTTAATACCTTTTTTCTTTTTAAACTTCTTAGAATGATCAAATCAGTTTAGGTATGCTGTTACCAAGTGACAAGAGGATGTCATAGAAATATTAACACAAAGTAAAAGGCATGAATTTTCCCTAAGTTTCAAGGGTGATTCTAGACTGGACGCCTGCAATGTGCCACTCACAATTTATAAAGAGAGATCTACACATTCTAATTAAAAGATTCATTGAAATAACTAACCTTAAACAAAAAGCAAAGCCGAAACTTTAGCCAATGTTGAATGAAGTAGAAACTTTAAACAAAGCTCTTTACCCAGCCCTCTTTTAAAAACCTAAATGTCATTCATAATGTATTACATTTTCCTATAACTATTAATACTAATTACTTTAAACATAGAAAGATGATTAGTTGAATATGAATCTTTATAATGCACCCTGACTTAACTATCAAAATAACCAAAGAGGTTTATCCTCAAATGGTTTCAAGCTTTAAAATCTATAATAATTCTTTTAGAGGCAGCCTCTTTTTACTTAATCCTTTATGAATGTCTTGGCTCGTCTGGGCCAATTAAATAAAGGCCCATCTCTCTTCCAGCCTGGGTGGTGTTTCATTCTCAACTGATCCTTTCCCTGTTAATGTTCCCAAAGTCTACTCCTGTCACTTGCCAAGGTGTTACTAGCTGGGAGCCAGAAAAGTCTAATTCTCTTCCATCTAGTACAAGCTATTTCCCCCACAGACATTATCCAGGAGTAGAGTTGACCACACTTACATTCTAAAATGGCTTACCTAGAGCCACTGCTTTCATTTTTCTTAAATAGTAGCTAGCCTCCTTGTAGATTTTCTTAGCAACATGTACTGATTAGGTTTTTCAGAACATGAAGGAGAAATTAAAGAAACAGCACCCCTCAAAATAAAGCCACTAAAAAAGAGGTTTTATAAGCAAGGGCAAAGAATGACCATCATTCCACAGTTCAACAACAAATTAGATTACAAATTTTTGTTAGGGCCAGTATTCAGAAATGAGTTCTAGAAACTATCCTATAAAAATTTAATTATAAATATCATCTCTAACTTTAGATAAAAAAGCTTAACAACCTCTGTCCAAGTGAGAACTGATAAATAGTACCTACCCTGCATGGTTACTAAATAGGTTAAACCAATTAGAACAGACCCAGACACAAACATGGTAATCAACAGACTACTGATGATGACAATTCATCCTTTGTCTAGTGTTCTAACTTATAACACCCAGGTGTCTAAGAACCTGAACACAGATGGTTTATTGGCCTAATTTGAATATACAGTAACTTCACTCCAATTATATTCCAGTCGGTTGGAATGGCGCATTCCAATGGCTTTTCTCAGCACATGCAAAACCAATATGCTACTTTACAACTAGGTCTATTCACAAACTAGAGGGTAATACTGTTACACAGTCATCTGTTATGTAAGACAGCACAGAGATTTATATAGGAAGTACATTAGAGCAGATGTCAACAGCTGTGTAATTTCACTCTTTGTATCAGATGAGATGTTTTACAGAGGGCTGAGGGCTGAGCTGGCTTACAATACATAGCCTACCATTCTAATCCATATTCTGGGTACAAGAGATATTTACCCAGTGTATACCCAGGACTGTATACAACACAAAGTGTGAGGTTAAGTTGGAGAAATATCCAAATAGATCTGCAGGTCAGCACTATGACAGCACATCTCTGTCTCATTAGCCACAATCAGAACAGGGTGGCATGGGCTAACTCCTATCCTCCTCTTTCTTCAAAACACCTTTATAATAGAGCTGCAATGACCAAGAAAGGCAGCTTGTCTGCCGTTTCAGCTCATCTCTTCTTTGCAAGTTCCTTGTCAGATTTGCTAATGAGTCAGAAAGCACCTACCCCAGAGCATCCAGCAGGCAAAGAAATGAAAGATAAGGATTTACAAAATTAGTTCAAATCACTCAAACTTCTATGTCTAGGTATATACTGTTTTTTTTTTAAATAATGCTTATGTTTTTCTTGTGACATAAATTTTAATTTCACAGATACTTTACACATTGATGCTTCAAAATTTGAGAAGGACAGGGAAGAGGTCACAAATGCTTTAAGAATCCAATAAAAATTACAGACCCTCTCTCTGACCCTTCTGACACTGTATAGGAATATCTATACTGACTTGCCTAAGAAGGAATTATCAATCTTCCAAGGGTGAACCATGGAGCCCCTTTGAGAGCTTGGGCCTGGCTTATGAATTTTTCAACTGCATTTTGTCCAGATCTCCAATGGGCAGGGAAGGCAGTATTATAGCTATAAGTCTCTTTAACATAGCTTCAGTGCCAAGTACCTCAAAATCCACAAAAACTTATATGCAAACAGTTTAGAAATTCTGAGAAAGTCCTTGTAAGGTCAAATACATCATCATTCTTTTCAATATGAGAATTTATAGCATGCTTCTTTTGGTAATTCACCTACTTCATCATTCTTTCCTAAATAAAGAGGCATATATTTAGAAGGAGAGGAAACTGGCAGGTCTCCACACTCCTGAGGGGTAGAGGTCGGGGTGTTCCAGGGTGGAGAGGTGTTCGTGGGAGGGCAGACAGAGCAGAGAGTGGAGCCAGCCAGCGGCATCTGCCTCTCCAGGAAGAACAAAGTACCTCAAAGAGACACTTCATGCCTAGCCAGTAGGGGATGGAGATACTGCTCAGAACTGGCCAAAAGACTAGAGCTGAACTTTTTAAATCCTTTTAAAACTAAAGTATTATCCAGTTTATTCTTTCTGCAGGAACTCTAAGAACAAAGGGACTCCGCTGGACCTCTAAATACCTATTAAGGAGAGGAAAGAATATGTGGAGACAGCCTCATGGAAACAATTATGTGTTTATTCAAACAGAAGTGAATTACAGGGAGAAAAATGGTAATGGTGCCGGCGGGGTGGGGGATAGTAGAAGAAGGAAAGAATTAGAAATTTAACAGAAGTGGCTTTCATTTGGACCTGTGTAGTGTGTGCTATGGTATTGTTCATACATACCTTCCCGTGAACAAAAGCAGTTTGGGGCTTCTGGAAAAACACTTTACAGTGGAAATACCAAGCCATACTTGCCCAATTACAAACCAAACTGAGCATATGTACATCACAACATTCTTCACATTCTTCCACGTACTGACAAAATACATGAACCCTTTGCACCTACTCCAGACATGGTTATTTAAGCTCTTTACACAGTATACTCGTTATGAAGAACACAAGGAGACAACTTCACTTACATGGTTAATGAAGAGACTCTTGCGTTTTTCTCTCACTGTGAAAACAAAAGATGCGACAGAAATGTTACATACCTGCATGCTAACCCCTTGCAGACTGCTGAGGACTAGGCCTCTTGTGTCACAGTACCATCCTTCCACCAACCAACATACCCAGGTGCTCAATTACCATATGTAAGACTATGTGACCTGCACAAATGCAGATCTGAACTTGGCTAACAGAGCAAAATACATACCCAGTTAAAGTATGGCAACTGCAGCTACGATTAGCTGAGTAGTAATAGCTTTCCAATAACTAAATTAATTAGTAATTTCATAAAACTTGATGCTTCCATTAATTTAGGATGATTAACCAGTAATAAGACTATTTCTAACTCAACCAAACCTATAAAGATCCACACAATTTGGGTGAAATATATATAATAATAATAATAATAATAATACATGCAACAGCATTAAGACACAAGACAGATAATGTACATCAGAAGCGTTATTTATCGTGGAAACCAACTGCGCTGAGTGCTGGGTGCTAATGAATAAAACCAGGCAGTATCCTCTCCCTCGGTAAGGCTGGTAAAATCCACAATAAAAAATACTGCCCTGTCTAAAAGAGCATTTCTCCTACTACTGTCTGTGCATCATGGCTCAGCCTTCCCTACATCAGACCTTAGTGTTTCCCAAGTCCTTAGCCCCAAAGATGTAGAAGGGTGACAGTGAAACCAGAGGATTATTAAAATAACCTAGGAGCACTGAGTTTTGCCTCTTTTTTCCTAAAGACTTACTTTTGAGGATACATATTAGTCACCTGGCATATTTATTGAGTAGGGCACTACAGAGGAGATAAAGACCAGGTTTCCTTCAAGGGGATGACATCCTTGGTTCCTGGGAATCCATAATGCTACCTCATACAAACTGCATACAAATCCAGTTCATCTGAGGAGGAAATTTTTTTTCTTGGTAGTCAATCCATGACCCAAGTGCGGAATGTTGTGCCCAAGATCGCGAATCCGGGAAACCAAGGAGCTGACACCGATGCAAACACATGAGGGTTTATGTACAAGCTCGAGCCTGGGTCCAAGTATACCCGACGCAGCGGAACAGGGACTTGGACCCCAAGACTAAGAGGCTTAGCAACTTTATAGGGGCCAGTGGCCAATGGGATACGCAGAAAGTTGGTCCACTGAGCCGGATTTCCGGTTAGGGTGTGCCCTGGTCTTTTTTTTTTTTTTAATACTTATTTATTTATGATAGACAAAGAGAGAAAGAGAGGCAGAGGGAGAAGCAGGCTCCATACCGGGAGCCCGACGCGGGACTCGATCCTGGGACTCCAAGATCGTGCCCTGGGCCAAAGGCAGGCGCCAAACCGCTGCGCCACCCGGGGATCCCTGCCCTGGTCTTTGACTAGGGCGGGGCAGTATCACTGAGCCGGATTTCCGATTAGGGCGTGTCCTGGGCTTGACTAGGGCGGGGCAGTGCCCTAAGTAATAAGCAGGTCAGCACAAGGCGGGTGCAGCCCAAAATAGAGTCAGTCCTGCTCTGCTTGTCCAGGGGTAGGGGATTTTGTTAAATTTCCTGGGTCCCACACGGAATCACTAGTTTTCTTTTCTTTTCTTTTTTTTTTTTTAATTTATGACAGTCACAGAGAGAGAGACAGAGAGGCAGAGACACAGCAGAGGGAGAAGCAGGCTCCATGCACCGGGAGCCCGACGTGGGATTCGATCCCAGGTCTCCAGGATTGCGCCCCGGGCCAAAGACAGGCGCCAAACCACTGCGCCACCCAGGGATCCCGAATCACTAGTTTTCAAAAGCCCTGCAGCTGATCTGCCGGAGGGGGCTTGGGAAATGCTTTCCTATGTTTACATTCTGTTCTTCAATTCACAAGGAAACATTTTGCTTTTCCTTAGAAGTCTTATCATCTCTGGCATGAAGGCTGTCCCTCTTCCTATCTCAAAGATGCTTGAGATACAAAGCAAAAACCAACTTGAGGATCCTGCTGAGAGAAGGTACTTATACGTGGCCATCAGATGGATTCATCTGCAGGCCACTGGCATGCACTGCACACGGAATGTGAGGTACCCTGGCCATGGCAGTGGCCAAACCAGCACCCCGGGAACTCAAGAGCATATACAACAGCAGCAGATCATGTCTGCTATTCACAGTGTGGAGGCTGCATGATTTCTTTTGACCTAATTCCAAATAAGCATCATTCACACATGAACCACAACAGTAGAAAAATGAGGCTCTGGCAGGAAGCACTGTGTTGTAACTGGCATATTACTTTGTATGCCTGGGTGTATTCTCTGCACTAAGTGTGTGTACATGTGCATGTTTTGCTTAAATCAATTTGATACTAAATTATGTATCTATTCAAGGTTGTTCTACCACATAGGGGTCTAATGACATTTCCATGGTGGTTTTTCATTGGCTGAAGGGATCTGGAAACACTTTCTGCACAGGTAGTAGACTTGACAAAGTTTCTAGCAAATTTCATAGGTGACATTTAGTTCTTCCTACGGCCTCCCAGAAATAGGTTTGTGCAGAGGGTGTATATCTCCCAATTATGGCAACTGCCTCCAAGGCCACTTTAATGCCCTGTATCACCTAGCCTCCAAAAGATAAAAGATATCCATGCCTCAAGGAATATTAGAGCTTCTTTTGTTGTTGTTGTTGTTGTTGGCTATTATTATTTCGTAGAGCTTCTTATATATGGGCACTGTTGAAAAAATTAAGCGTTATTCAGAAATAGGAGAGAGGGCTAAAAATCAGAATCTTCAATAGTATGGGTAGAAAGTTTTAACAATAAAGTTTATATAACAAAAAACAAAAAACCACCCCAAACAAGTAGGAATACTATATAAAAGTATATACTATTCTTGTACATCTACAAAAATAAGTCTCAGGGAAGAATCATGAAGCCCAACTGGTTCCAATTAGAAGAGTGAAAAACAGGGATCCCTGGGTGGCGCAGTGGTTTGGCGCCTGCCTTTGGCCCAGGGCGCGATCCTGGAGTCCCGGGATCGAATCCCATGTCGGGCTCCCAGTGCATGGAGCCTGCTTCTCCCTCTGCCTGTGTCTCTGCCTCTCTCTCTCTCACTGTGTGCCTATCATAAATAAATAAAAATTTAAAAAAAAAAAAAAAGAAGAGTGAAAAACAAAATTCACTAAGACCATTATAAAATACCTAAGGATAAGGTACCCAAATCTATTATAGAATATCTTAGGCACTCACTGTTTTTAAACAGATGAATACCTATGCCTTACCCTATTTCACTCAGAGCAACTGGACCTGCTGAATCTGATCTGAAATCTGGGTTCATGGGATTATTTTGTATTCTGTAGTATTCTGTAATCCACTCCTAAGAGGGCCTTTCCAAAATCAAGTCTGCAAAGTATCTGAAAGGCTTTTCTGTACATATATCCCTGTAACTGACTTCCTTGTGGAGTGTCTCCTGAATCCCAAAACCAACCGCCAGTTCCTTCTCAAATAAAAATAGTTCTCAATATCCATGCTTGTATAAGGTGACCTGACCATAACTGCCCGGATCTAGGTATATATCCATTCCTAACTGAGCTAATTCTCTCTCCTAGGAATCTGGAGATGTTAGTTCATCACACTAGCACCTAATCTGAAGGCATAAGGTGGGTGGGATGAAGTGCAGCTCCTTCTGAGCAGAAAAGAATTAACACAGAAGGTTTGACTGTGCATCCCTGAAATGGCCTGTTTGCAAGGGAGACCCTAAGCTGGTGTCTGAGAATATGGATTTAGGGAGGGTTTCCTACCATTCCCTAGCTGATAAAAAGTGGCTCATTGTGCTTACATTGTGCAAACAATACGGTTTATGCTAAATACCTGCTTTCCTCCTGGGAGTCTAGAATTTTTGTACATACTGGGCAGAGGCTGCCTACTTAACCAGTCCTCAATAAAAATCCTGGGCACTGGGTCTCTAAGGAGCTTTCCTGGCTGGCACATGTTACAGGTTGTCACTGGGGAAACCTAGCACATCCTGTGTGACTCTACCTGGAGAGTACTCTTGGAAGCTTATAGTATTTTCTGGACTTCGCCCATGTACCTTTTCCTTATACTGATTTTGCTTTGCATATGTTCTTTGTAATAAGCCACAGCCATGAGTATGACTATTTTTTGAGGGCTATGACCCCTAATGAATCACCAGAACTGGGCAGGGGGGTAGAGGATCACTCTGAGGATCTCCTCCAACACACCTGCCATGCAGAAACGAATGGGTGATGAGGAGGGTGAGGAGGAGATGGTAGGTGCTTCCTTATTCCTAATGGCTTTTAGTCCTTATTTCCCATGACCTATAAGGTTTCTCAGGTACCCTGGCGCCCTTACAATTAATTATTCCTTTTCCCCTAAGCTAGTAGGAATACGATCAAGACACTACCACAGGAGAAAAAACAATAAGTGGAAATTCTTACACTTGTACCACCAAAAACAATGAATTATACCGCTTAAATTTAAATCTGTCTTTAAAATAAATTTGAAACTACTGAGACCAGTAATCAGTTCTGAAATTCAAACAGCTTTTAGTCATTTTATTTTATGTAATGGTAGTAGCAATATGCCAATTCATTTCTGACATTAGCTTTAATCATTTTTAAACCTGAATATTTTTGCTTACTAATAACACATCAACCAAAATTCTCCAGAGTTTTCAGAGTTCCTATATAACTGAGGGACTAATAGTCATATTTTGCTTTGCTGGGAAAATAGGCAACAAATTGATGTGGATCATACATCTCACTTTCCTGGAAAAGGAATAGCTCTTTCCCTTTGATCCCATCCACGATGGTTTGTTAACAAAATTTTTAATTAACTATTAAAATAAATTCATAATGACTTAAATAGAAAATATATTTGATGCTTTAAAAATAAGCCATCTAACATTAACAAAAATACTACTGTTGGCATTACGTGTTCTCCAGATAAAATGAGAAAATGGCAGTGTTTGCCATCTGCGATAACCAGAACTTCACTTAGGTTGCTACATGGACATTCCCTTGTCACAATGTCACAGAA